ACTTTTTTATATAGATAGAGGGTAAAGTGCGGGGTGAACTAACCAATCAGAGGACAGACAAGATCTGCCACAGGCCACGCCTCCAGAGTGCCAAAAGCCCTTACAGCCGAGCGAGCAGGAGTCAGAAACCGAGCGCGCAGAGAGGCTGCCGAGCGCGCACAGAGGCTGCCGCGCGCGCACGTTTTCCTCTGCCGTGTGCTCGTTGACAACGCGCGCACGCAGGTTTGTCACTTGTGCACATCCTTGTGCGCTCACAGACACAGTTTGCTCCCTCTCTGTGCACAAATGACCTCTCGCCATGTATATTTTCGCTCGCGAGTCCCGTTCACACGCGCGCGAGTCCCGTTCACACGCGCGCTGTGGACCCAATGCGCGTGCACGGGTTGTGACACGGGTATGACGCGATACCACTGTCGCTAGTTTGCATCAAAGTGAAATGTGATGTTGCAGAAGAGGAAGACACTGAGTCAGAGGCAGGAGAGAAGGAGGAAAAGGAGGAAAACATTAGGTAAGAGGTGAAAATGAGGCCTTTAGTGGAGAGAATAAACAAGAAAAAAAACAAAGAATGAATTACAAGAAATGAGGAAATAGGCAGCTACTTAAAAATCCTCATCTGTGCTCTCAGACTGCAATTAACGTGGAGCCAGAAGGATCGCCGACTCCTTTCTACCATAAAACAAAACCAGGATTGATGAGAGCATCTGTAGTCTAAGAGACTCATTGGCTTGTTGGGAGGAATGTGTCGAGATAGCGAGAACAGAATGGAGAAATAACAGCTGGCTGTGGAGGGAAGGAACGTGAAGCCAGGTGGAGGAAAAGGCACAAATGAGCAGATCGAGAGGAACATTTAACAGAATAGTTCTATTCTGCTGCACGAGGGTGGGGTTGTGAGTGCAAAACACAGAGTAAGCCCAGGGAGATAAACTAGAACAGAGTTGCTCCTTTATGGCCATTTTTTCAGTCTCCTTGGAAGCTATTGTGTTGGTTTCATTCATTAGACCAGATGCAATAAAAAACAGTCAAGGAGAGAAATATCACCGGTCACAAGCCTGCCTCTCTCTCTCTCTCTCTCTCTCTCTCTCTCTCTCTCTCTCTTCTCTCTCTCTTTCTCTCTGGTGATTTCTCACCACGGCTGACCTTCTCAAGCAAACAAACCACATGTTAATCATGAAGAAACACACATAAAATGATATTTTTCTCTCTCCAGCTTAGTTGCTGTGGTGTCATTAAACATTCATTGCATCACAGAGTTGTTTACCGAGGAAACTATGTTCTACAAATCACCATAAGGCCATTTGCATGAGCAAAAAGAGAAAAGATCTGTAAGGAATATGAAAATTGTCTCAGAATAAAGAATAGCTGAGGCAGCTATTTCTGCTAAACAAAATAAATGTCCTTTCTAAAACTGAACCCTCCTACAGAACATCTCTGACAGAATTTACTTTAGAAGCTCTACCTCATTCAGCAAAGAATGGGTTTCACACCTTTCAAGATCTGCTGTTTTCACCCATTATTTATAGAACGGCTCACTCATGAACCCTAACAAGACTACAGAATGGAAGTGGCATTAAAATAAGAAACACGAAGAAAAAGGAGAAATAAACAGCTGAGTTTTTTTTCACGGTTGTCAGCACTTGGATTAATAGGAGATTTTTCACCATAATGAGCTGTTAACTGTTCACTGTCAGGAGCATTTTTGAATGCTTTGTCTAATAGTTGTCACAGTTTTCTCTTTTTATCGCCTGCGTTTGACAGACAACATTCATCTGTTCATTCAGTCATTCATTCATTTTCTATGACAACCACCAGCTGGTGCCTATCTTCAGGCTGAGGAGCATGGAACACCCTGGACAAGCTCACACACAGAGATGGGAAATTTAGAGTAGCTAAGTGAGCAAAAACTCATGTTTCTGGCCTGTGGAAGAAAACTGGATGTATTCATACATGCAAGAGGCTAACATGCAAACTTTACAGGGTGATGAACCTGCAACCTTTTCACAGCAAGGCAGCACCACTATGCAGACCTGACAGACAGTAAATAGCTTGTAAAAATCATCGGCAGGTTCACTTGATACATCAGATGTTTGAATTGGTTATCTGTGGATCATGCAGCAACTTAACTGCTAAAATGTTAAATAAAGCTGTTTCCTGGAGTTGTTTCCCATAAGATTTATTCGGTGAAACAGTCTGTGGAGTATTACTAATGAGTGGTAGGGTCATATAGGTTGCTTAATGTAGTAATTATTTTTAATTATCATCCTCAGCACTGTGACAGTGACTAAACAAACCCAGTGGCTAAATGTCCGACATGTATGAGTGTTGATAAATAATGCTTGAAACCAGGAGGAGCTGAGATGCAAAGAAGCTGATGCTGCAAAAATAAGATGTGCTTTTTTATCGTGTGTGTCTGTGTCAAACTCCTGAAAGGATCACACGATTAAATATATTTTATCAACCCTAATAAATTCAAATGAACCAGTGATCTTTTCTCATTTTTATCCCTTACAAATTAACATCAACATAATCGACAGTGTTGATTTATTTTTGTTACAATCATCTTGGGTCCATGAGATAAGGCGACGTGGACCCAGGACCATGAACATGGACAAAGGAGTATACTCGCTGGACCACTCAAAGGACTTGTGATCAACGGAAAAGGTATGGACAGTAGAGGGCGATATCGTTCTCAGCTGCCTGCAGATAAACGGAGCATCAGCGGTTGATCTGACGAAGGCAGCAATAGACATCAAAACATGTCAGCAAAGGTAAAACAAGCTCTGTGTGTCATGAAAAACCACAAAAAATGTCAAGTGTTGATTCATTTCGAAGTCATTTTAAGTCATACTTGTGGGCAAAAGCTCAGATTATCCTGTTTTTGGAAGCACAATCAAATAGAGGAGAAAGTAACTTTAACTCCTTCACTGCCAATGACGATTAAAGTCGTCATTTGCATGTTTTTACTGTGTGGGCGTCGGAACGAGTCCCCGCACCGTGAGAACAAACATCCCAGCTCTAAAGCTGATCTTCATCCGCGTACGTCACTCGTCACGTGATCAGGGAGCAGAAAATCCGTGTGTTAGGAGATCGTTTTTGGCCGCTGCTGTAAAAAAAAGTGAGGCGCGAGCCGGAAAAGCTTCTGCTGATCACAAAACAACACAATCCAAAAACAACACAAGTGTGGTGTTCTGCCGTGTGGTGAAGTTGCTAATGCTAATGTTTAGCTTCTACTAGTCGAGATGTTCTCTGCTGATTCCTGGCAATGAAACAACAGCCTTGAATGTTTTACATGACAGTGTGGCATAGATCTGCAGGCTTTTCAAATCCTAAAGTTTCACCGTCTGTCAGAAGCTAATGCAGGAGATCGATGTAGCAGACTATTTTCTAAATAATCATTAAAAAAAGTTTTTCTTTTAGTGAACCACACCTTTAAGAAAAAGTTAGTGAGAACTGGTATATTTTATGTCTGTGCAAAGTTATTCCAGACAATAGAGGGTGTGTGTGTGGGGGGGGGGGGGGGGGGGGGGATCTATTTTGAGATAGAAAACCATTTGCATCACACTGCTGCTGGTGATAAATGGAATCCACTCTCCATGACAAACAGTGAGTACAGAGAACTGTTGGATCATCTGTTTCTGTCTGGTGCTGTGAAGCTGCCGACACACAACACCAAGGCTTCCTCGTCAAGGTCCTTTGTGGATGTGAGGCATCGTGTCTGGATGTTGTGTTTACCGTATGTACAGAGCTCCGGGAGTTGACGACACTTCTCCCGGCATGCAACAGTTCAAATCGAAACGGCGCCATCGTGGCAGGCAGAAGCCCACAGCTGGGATATTTGTTATTGCCAGAAAACTCAGTCAAACGGGAAATATGGTAGATTCCTGTTGTGCCCCAGGATTCAGAACAGACGCGGACGACATAAGGAATGAGCCATCTACAGGATTCCCCAAGATCCGGAGCGCCGCAAACGTTGGATCATTGTAATAAAATGCGCTAGTGACCGGGCTAAAATGAAGCTGTGGGATCCCGAGAGTGAAGGTTTTCGCTTATTCCACTTCATATCAGGTACTTAAACCAACATTTCCTCAACTGTGTATGGTATTTATTTTAAATGCTTTTATTACGATTCTTAGTGGGCTTCCTAAACTTATTTTGGCGTGGCTTTTTCTGTCTTGTTACTCATAGCAACAAGTAAATGTCACGTAAAACGTTGCTTCGTGATTTCTGCGTGCTGCCGTTTACGTGTCTTATGATCACAGCAATTAGCCGACTAAGTTGTATTTATTTTTTAAACAATGGTTGATCAATTGTCAGAAAAACACACACATAAAAAACACTTTGGATTGCTATTATCTGTCTCACCGAGACAGATCTCAGACAGATCCTGAGACGCTCTTGCCTGACATATTTATTTTATTCACGGGAAAAAACAGACTAGTGATTTCTCCTCACATTCAGTTTATACATTAAACAGCACAGCACTCCATTTAAACTACTTACATGTAAATCTATGTTATTTGTCCATCCATCCATCCATCCATCCATCCATTCATCCATCCATCCATTTTCATCCGCTTATCCGGAGTAGGGTCGCGGGGGCAGTAGCCTAAGTCAAGAGGCCCAGACTTCCCTCTCCCCAGCCACTTGGGCCAGCTCCTCCGGGGAAATCCCAAGGCGTTCCCTGGCCAGGTCCGCTGCGACAGCTTCTGGCATTTTTAAAAAGTATCCCAGGAGCACAGTAAGGGTCGGAGATGTTTAATCTATTTAATTTCTGACTATATAAAACGATTTCTTCGATTTTAAAGTGTGAAGTAAACTCTGACGGAGTAAAATCCAAGCTGATCCCGTTCATTTTGTTTACCTTTGTTGCCTGCCAACATGGCGTCTACTCTCTGAGAGTCATGTGACGTCCAGAGCTCTATATGCTGTCTTAGGATGTATTGAATTATAATCTGTTTGCATAAACTACACGTATCAGAGAGTGTGTTATGTGAGTTTCCTACCAGCATAAGGAATCGGGGCGTCCTTGTCCAGAGCCACTAGCGGAGGGTCCAGCAGCACCGTGTCCATGTTCTCTGTAATCACTCCATGGTAGGAGGTCTCTATCCACGGCTTGTGCTTGTTAACTGTACAAAGAGGACAAACACCATAAAAATTACTGTAGCCTATGTCTTGGAAAAATCATTAGTGAATATTTAAATTGAATGCACTGTTAAATAAATTGGTACATACATACATTTCAATGTTCACAATGAGCAGTAAAGCAAAAAAATAAAATAAAATTAAAATAACATTTCCCATGTATTTCTTACATCAAATATCCCAACGAGTGACTATATTTTTTATTAAGGTTTTGATAAGAATTCATTAACGTTAAATGGTAAATGGCTTGTATTTGATATAGAGTCCTGGAACCCCCCAAGGTGTATTACAACATAATCAGTCATTCACCCTTTCACACACACGTTCCCACCCTGGTAGGGATGAGTTACGATGTGGCTACAGCTGCCCTGGGGCACACGGACAGAGGTGAGGCTGCCAAGCACTAGCCTGGCCTGCCAGACTTGTTATCTGTGCATAATTAAACAGAGGAGGAGTCTGGCAGGCCAGGCTAGCCGAGCACTGGAACCACCGGTCCCTCTGAACACCACCAGCTAGGTTAAAAGAAATGGATGCACTAGTGAGATCAAACAAATAAATACAAAGCAATTACCTGAAAATTACATTTATTTTTTACGTATAATGGCATTTTTAAGGACTATCTACATGAAAAATACTTTTTGTAACTAAGAAAGGGTGAGTAAGGTGAAATAATTATAATTTAGTGTTTTATCTAAAATACTATTTCAAACTATACTTTTGATGTTGGCATCAGCTGTATTTGATTTTAACGCTTCGCTAAAGACACTGAACAAACACATTTTTCAGAGCGGCGTTTTGCATCTCTTCCTCTTTCAGTGTTATCTCTAATTTCTCCTGTGAATCTTTTTGTTTCACTTTCCTCTGCCTTTATGCTTTGTTTCTATCTTTGTCCAATTCGAAAATAAATGCAGCATTCAAACACCATTCTCCAGCAGTGGATTAAGCGAAGCTTAACATGGATCAAACTCACACAGAAAGTCATTATTGACGTCTTAACTTAGAGGAAAAAGTGATTATCCTTCAGTCGGAGCATTGCTGTTTCCCGCAGTCTGCACACTGATGCTTTCTGTCACAAGAAACTGAACCAATTCCAGTGCGATCCTTATGGGTCCCTCTGGATAAAAGCATCTGCTAATTGATGCAGTGAAATATAACATGTCCTAAATTAAACTTCCTCACAGCAAGACCTCACAAATAGAAACCTAACACCCAAGCCACAAGAAAAACCTTATGTACGTCTTCATCACATGCAGATGCACACACACACGCACACACACACACACACACACACACACACACACACACACACACACACACACACACACACACACACACACACACACACACACACTATCCCTGGTGTACAAGTGTCCCTGTCTGCAGGGAGCTGGTCTGACACCCTGACCTTTTAATCCACTGAAGAGGAATGCTTTGTCTCATGCCAATGAGCAGATGACATGTCCAGCTGGCACTGATTTAAAATGCATCAAACCCGTCTTAAAGCTTTCTCCCCGCTTTTCATCTGTTTAAGTAAACTTCAGTAGTGTTGTCCTACTATCCCATTTTCTCCCTCACTTGTCACAAGTGCAATGAGAGAATGGGGTCACAGTGAAACAGGAAATAGGTCCTAATACGGACCAGAGCAGATTCAATAGAGGTGTATGGGGATATCAACTCAAAATGAGTTCTATTAATAACCCTGTTCGGATAGAAATGCACAGTTAGAGTTTCAAATTGGTTTATATGGTCTGGATTCATTCCAAGCCATGGCTGCTGAGATAACTGATACTGTTCCACCATGTTTGAAGTAAGAAAGTATTTTATAATTGAAAAACAGAACAGGTCTGTTAAAAATTGTAATGTTTGCAATTAAAGGGGAACTGACCTTCTTTTAACACAACCTAGCATCCGTTTGTATAACCGAAAGCAAAACCTGGCTGTGTGTTTGTCTTTTTAACACCTTAATCTAACAGCTGAAATGTCTCCCCAGCCTTCTTTAGTGTCTACAGGATTGATTCATCCTTAAATTAAACAAATCTGCTGTGTTCATGATCTAAAACATGCAGGAAACGTGATAAAACCAGCCTGCAGAGCGGCATGCCAGTCTAAAGTTGCAGGAATATTTTGGCCACAGGGGGCAATAGGGGATGGGTGGCCTTTCATTTACTCTGTAAAGGAGGGGTATTCAAATCTGGGCCAGGAGGGCCAGTATCCAGCATGTTTTAATTTTAACCCAGCTTCAACACACCTGATTTCAATCAACAGGTGATTAACAGAGCCCAATGAGGTGCTGCACAGGTGATTCAACCACTAAATCAAGTGTGCTGGATCAGAGTAACCACTAAAACGTGCTGGATACTGGCCCCCGAGGCTCAAAATTTAATGCCCCGGCTGTAAAGGGTCATTTTAGCACATACTGGTTTAAGAAAAATAATTTAAAAATATGAAAAAGTTGCTAAGTATGGCTTTAAAGTATCTCTTGCAGAAAACGGTGATTAAGTGAAGGACATTCAAAGCCATTGATTTAATAAGACATTTGAATTAGAAAAAGTCAGCTAAGTGTTCACCCAGGTAACTGTAAAGCTAAGATGGCTCATCACTACACTTTGAAAAAGTGATTAAAAAATGAATTTTAATGGAGTGACGTCTTTCTCTCCTGACAAAATAGCAGGTGTTGTTCCAGAAAGTCATTTAAAGCTGATCACTGAAGTCAACGGCTTTGCCTAAAATTATCCAGTGACATCATGATGGCTGCAGACACCAGGGAATGTATCATGTTAGTTTGGTTGGAGCTTTTTGCAGCTTTTGAACCTGTTGAACAGACGTTGCGACTCTGAGGATCTCTGGAACGGTTCTAGACTGGTTCAAATTGTAGCTTTCTAACAGAAGTTTCAGTGTCTGTATAAACAAAGCTCAAGTCAGATTCCAATGATATGTTCTGTGGGGTACCCCAAGGCTCTGTTTTGGGTCCACTCTTGTTTTTAACTCTTACATATCTTACGGACTATGGCGATTTTTTATATATGCATGCTCAACAGATATTTGCACCAACTAGATTTAGTTTATCACGGAGAACTAAGATTTATTACAGGGTGTAAACGTCATCCACATTGTTGCACTCTGCATAATCTAGTCCAGTGTTCCTCATTAGCTCAGCGCAGGCTAACCAGGTGGCGACTATTTACATACAAAGCCATCATCGGGATGTTGCCTCCTTACTTATGTAGGCTTTTGTCTTTCAAGACCTGGGGTCTAATTTATCGAACATTGCCTAGAATCCTTACTAAAACCGTATTTAAGCTCAGCAAAAAAAATTTACTTATGTCAAGTAGGTTTGTGATCTATCAAACATGGAGTACGCACAGCTGCACGCAATCTGCGCTTCATAAATCAGAAACTATCTAGAAAGTTTCTCAGCTGCTTTTTAGTCACATCCCGCCCTCACCACACCCCCTTACTGCCATAAATGGTCGATGCAAATTGCCTTGTGGATCTCATGCATATACATAAGGCGGCTTGTTGCAGCATTTCAATCACGACCGCAGATCAAGGAAGCACTATTTCACAAGCAGAAATTCAGGCACTTGTGGGTGAGGTGGAGAAATGAAAGGAAGTGCTTTTGCAAAACAAATAAGAGAAAATCCACGGAGTGGCACAGCGTTGCTGAAGCTGTCAATGCTGAGTTCTTCAGTGAGATCTGTGGTGGATATTAAAAAAAAATATTCAATCAGGATTCAATCCCCAGACTCCCAGGTGAAAGTCACGCATGCTAACCAGTCAGCCAAACGGAGATCTCCCTTGTCCAAGTAGCCAGGGCAGATGATCAATTGGGTCACAGTGACAGGACACACACTGTCACAGACGCATGAAAATATGTCTCAATCTGTACCCCTGCTGATTTTCTGCATTCCGTATTCTGTGCTTCAGGCTGTGTGTGTGTGTGTGCGTGTGAGCATGTGGGTGTGAGTGTGCGCGCATGTGTGTGTGCATGCGCGTGTGTGCGTGCCTGTGGGGGGTCTTGTTCTGTGTGAAAACGAAGCAGTACAAGTGGTAATGCTGCAGGATTTCATAATTGTATCCTTCTCAGCAGCAGCACTGCAGGTGCTCTCCTTGTCCAAAATGTGCGTAAGCCAGGTCCTTAGTCAACTTAAAGTTGCACACATTTTTCCGCTAAATTTTCTTTCATAAATCCCAAAGTTTGCGTGGAAAGTTGCTTACGCAGTTTTCCGACCCTGTTTTGTGTGTAAGCAAGCTTGATAAATGAGGCCCCAGCACTTGCTCACTTTGGTCTAATGCTAATATCCAGCTGGCTGTGCCTAGAGCTCGTACAGAATTAGGTAAGCAAGCATTTAGGATCTCTGCTCCGTCAGCCTGGAACCAGCTACAGAATCACCTAAAACTAGAAAACCCGGTCTCTTTTTGTCAATTTAAGTGGCTAGTAAGGAACAGGAAGCAGGCACAATCGGCCCCTTTTCCTGCCTCCGAAAATAGGATAAGCCTATTTTTAGAAAATAGGATAGGCTTAGAGTGCCTATGGTGGTTGTCAAGACAAAAACTTCCATTCCCTCGTGTTGGTCGAATCACTGTAATATTAATGCATCATGTCTGGTATGTTTTTCCCATTGTAAGTGTGTGTATGAAGGTGCATGTGTATGTGTGTGTACGTGTGCGTGCACGGTGGGGTCACCGGTGTTGGATCGACACTGAGGGTGCATGTGAACGTTCTCAGTCAGCAGGAGCGCCTGCAGCTGCAGGGGGCGCCAACTTGCTGTTTCCAATCCAGACACTGTCATATGACAGACAATAGAAAACCTCGGTGCGGCGCAGATTTTTTTCTTTTTTATTTTTTACTCAGCGCTTGTGCGCCCCTTTTGTGTCATGAAAAATGCCGCCCCGGGCAACTGCCCTGCCTGCCCATGCCTAAAACCGCTACTGCTGAGGGTGACTGTATGGGTCCAGTGGACTCATGTAGTCACTCTTGGTA